ACTCACCAAGTCCATAGGTTGGTTACATTAGGGTTCACTCTTGTGTACACTGTATGGAATCAGACAAATACATAATGACATGTATCTACCATTACAGTATCATCTGGAGTAGTTTCGGTGCCCTAAAAATCCTATGTTCTACTGAAAAGTTTTAAAATTTTACTACAGTATTTTGTGAAACCTCACAGTCTTAAGAAACCACACCTGGAAATTTTCAGTGTAATACAACCTAATGGAAAACTATAGATGAGAACCAAGCTACTTTCTAGATTCAATCAGTCATAACCAGCAATCTGGATAACCCAATCCAGTCAAACCACCTGGTATTTGTTTTGTGTGTGTGTGTGTGATACCAGAGATCGAACTCAGGACCTTGTGCTTGCAAGGCAGGCACAGTGCCACTGAGCTAAATCCTCAACCCAAAACACCTAGTATTTGTAACAGACCTGAGCTAACATACACAGCTTTTACAATTCTTGACATTTTTGAAGTGTCTGAGGATCCTACAATCTTTATACCAAGAAATCAAACTCAAATCAAACTCCCTCACATACAGATTTCAAAAAACATTTTTTCCATTTTTATTTTTTATTAGTACTTTTGCAGCACATAATGATTACACTCTTAATAACCACAAGGGTAAGTGTATACAACCTGCTCTGTAAGCTCGCTGAAGCCTCACTTACTGATTTGGTAAATTCACTCAACACTTGGCATGAAAGATCCACTTAAAGTAGGCTCAACAATATTCCAATAGGACTATCCTAATTGAGTCAGCAGCAACTGTTCTAGAAATCTTGGAAAGAAATACACGGAGACACAATTCGGATAAAATAATAAAAGTTCTACTTGCAAGTGGGCGGGACCGCCAGAAACCAGTCTGGTTAGTATCTGAGCCCTTGTTCAGTGTTTCCCTTTTCATATCCTTTTTAGCCATTATCTCATCCCTAGTGGTCTTTGATGTGTAAATACAATTCCAGTTCCTATTTACAAGTCACAGACACAAGATAGGCAC